CACATGCATATGTAAATTTATTATAAGTTAATAATTCGTAGAAGGATTTTTGACATTTGTTTCCGAATTTTAAAATTATTTCAGCTACTTATTTTTCAGATATACTGATTTTTCGGATTTCGATTTGTGATTTCTCGATATTAAATTACAGCTTTCACATATTATGTTATATAATCTAATTCTAAAAAATATAACTAGTACCTACTAATTAATGTTTCAGAAAATTCATGACGCCAATGAACCTGACAATGGACCATTTAATTTTAAATTTACAAAACTTATTGATATTCGGTTAGGTGGAAAAAACTTTAATAATGTAAATGATATTATCCAATCAAACATTAATGAAGCTATTGGAGGTAAGATTTCAAAATATTTGTGAATCCCATAAACTACTAAAAGAGATTTCATATATGTTTAGATTCTGGAGAATGTAACAATTATTGTATGTCTCATATACAAACAATAACTATTGACCGATTTCTTTGATTGTCATTATCAAAAATATTTTAAAAAGATGAAAAAACAGGCTTAAAGTCAACAAACCGAAGATACCACACTTACACACATGCATCATTAGAAAATGGTAAACTTTATTAATATATTTTTATTGATCTGATCAAAACGTTTGTCAGTGTTAATCATTGTCTACTATTATAATGAGAAAAACTGGAATAAGAGTACCTAAATTGTTTAAAAATCTTTAAAAATTATATTTAAAAAAAGAAAGCAATTAGTTAAAGTGGACAATTATTTCACTGATCGTCAATATATAAAATGTGGTTTACCCCAAGGCACTGTCCTGTGTCCTGCCTTATTTAACTTATCAATTAATGATTTATTTAATCTCAACAGTGCTTAATTATTAATATCAATTTAGTGACGTAAGATACAGGTATTGTTAAAGGCTCTGTATTTCTATTTGTTATGTGTGAATGAAGGTTTATTATTATTATTATTATTATTATTATTATTATTATTATTATTATTATTATTATTATTATTATTATTATTATTATTATTATTATTATTATTATTATTATTATTATTATTATTATTATTATTATAGTGAAATACTTATAAAATTAGAGGTACATATTATAATCTTTTCATAAAAAACATTTTTGTAGTTGATAACTCAAAGAAACAATCACCAGAAATGTATCTTGTAAACGAACAGCATGAAGAACAAAACGTAAGAGCAGAACGATCTTGTAACACCGATCAAAATCTTATTATAAATCGATTAGACAGTATTACTGGCAAATTACAAAATATACAGAACGTTTGCCAGAAATCTAATTGCGAATCACAAACAGTAAGGTATGAAGAAAGATAAAATAATATAATAATTTATAAATTCATTCGACAAAACTGATGACTCAATTTTTAATTTTTTAGCAATATAGGAATCAACAGTGAGTTTTGCGATAGATTAGTAGGATTAAGTAAACTTCAATATTGTGATTTTTTTGAAGAAAAATATTCAAAAAATTATTCTAATGCTACCAAGAGTAATATACCGAAGAGCTGTAAAGAAATTCAAGAAAATGGTAAGTTTACTTTTAAAACATAAATAGTTTTTAGCTAACATATTTTTCAACTTTTTTGAGGCCAAAACAAATCTGGAATGTACCAAATCCAATCGAAAAGCAGCTTCAAACCAATTTTTGTCCTGTGCGATATGGAAACCAAAGATGGTGGTTGGACGGTTGTCCAAAAAAGATTTGATGGTTCGGAAAATTTTGTCAGAGAATGGCGTGACTATAAATTTGGTTTTGGAGACCTCAAGAGGGAATTTTGGCTCGGTCTTGAAAACATCTATAACATCGTAGGTTGGTATAAAACACAGCACCAGGTTTTGTTTAAATACAAAATTTTACCCTCATTACGATATCTAGGAATTTCCTTTAAATATTTTCTACCAAACAACGATGTCCTTATACCAGACATTCTTACGGTGTCTCTTACAATAACGAAATTCGTTTGATGCAGTGTATAATATGTCGTAGCTAAATACGCGTGTTTAGTGCGCATCATAGGTTGAGCAGGTCATTGCACTGGATACCAACAAAAAAACGATACTGTCAACTGTCATTAATGTCCGTATGAATAACTCAGTGGTCATTGAAATTATTAAAGCATAATTTTGATAATGAAATCAATTTAATTATTTAACATATTAGAGCATATGGATCATCATCATCATCATCATCATCTGAATTAGGGCGTGGTTCAAAGCATACTTGTACTGAAGCTCTAGGCTTATTGTACCCCTCACAGTTTCTATCCCATCAGATTGATTTTCTTGATGAATTCAAGAATATGTCTGATGGGCGCTTTCGCGATTTCTTCAGGTTCCGGATATTGTACCCCGAAGTACCATATGGATAGTAAGCTAATAAAATTTATATGTTTCTCTATTGAATTTGTATTTTTTTTTTTTTTCGGGAAAATATTTGTCTTCAATTTGAAGAATTTCAACCCAGCCTACTCAAACCCTGGTTTTTGAAGTGGATATAATTTAATTAATTGACACATTCAAAGCATATAAACGGTAAGTTTGATAACATTCACATGTAATTCTATCAGTTTCATAATCTTTTTTACAGGAAAAGAATTATTTTTCCGTGATTTGAGAAAAGCCAACTTATTTAAAGGGTAATTTTTGAAATGGATTTTAAAGCAGTATCACATGTCCCAGAGGCCAAGTGATTTGTCACAACATGGCTACCTTATTGTATTATGCCCATTTAGGCAACTGAGAAGGCCCTAAAGAAGCTAAAAATGCTTTTGATCCAAGGCAGACTGAACTTCATGGGTTGCGATTTGTAGTTTTTTGTTTGGCCATAATCCGTAGAGGCTGAATGGAATCCTAATTTAATAGATACTTAATTATTATTTATTACTACACAAATATTTGATAATTTATATTATTATATAATAAAACTACTTTAATTTTTTTTTATTTATTTACTTATCTTGCAGAACAGAGTAAACTTTCGAATACTTAATATATAATTTTCACAAAATATGTGTATAAGAAAAATGCAGAGGCACAGTTCTTATCGTTTCTTCTAGCCTTTCCACTTTCATTTTTAATACAGTTTTCATCTTTGATCATAACAGAATCTAAATAAAAAATATTTTTCTTCAGGAGGATCAAAATATGCTATTGATTCCAGAGGCATAACAATAAAGTTCACATTCTACTTCCTAGTAACATATAATAACTCTGAGAACTTATATCGAGGGCCATAATTCAGGATTTGTAACTAGGATTTCCATTGAAAATTATATTTTATGATAATCTCATTTAAAACATTTCGCTCCATTTACTGTATATGGGAACATTTGTGTTGAATAATACTCGCCAGTAATTTTTGTTTAAATGGTTTGCTGCTTTTTCTTTTTGTTTTTTGCTTTCAGAAATTTATTGTTATTGATTTATTTGCTCATTCTATTAATTTATATATTTTTAAACTCTAACTTAAAAATTAAGAAGTTTACGACATATGTTAATATTAACTTTTCTTCTTAAATTCACCCAAGGATTCACACCTTTAAATATGGACACTCAATTAATAAACAACCTGTTTAAAACAAAAAGAAATACACACGACGCCGACGTGAAACAGAAGATTTATCCGGTTTTAAAATTTAAAATTATTTGTCTCTTAACGTTTCTTAAAATTCTACTACGGTCAGGAAATTATATTTTTATAATCGATACCTTCATTTTCCACACTAGATTTCTTTTACGGCTCAATAAACAATTCTAAAATTTTTATTAATTTTCCACAAACTTTTTCCATCTCATCTACTGTATAACCTAGAAAATGTTTCTAAAGTAGGCCATGACCGACAAAGACAGAGATAAAAGTCATGTCCGTGATAATTGCGCGGGGCTGCGAATTAAATCCAAACTGACAGTTAAAAAGAAGAAGAATTGTATGCCCGACGCACGTGAATTTTTTCCAGGTCTACTTGAAACATTTTTTCTGGATCACTCCTTATATATTATCTTAAAACTTTGGATATGTCATTTCTCTTCAGTTTATTTATCTATTTATTTATTTATTTATTTATTTATTTATTTTTTCATTTAGGATTTGAAGCAAACGAATTACTAGTAGAAATAACTGACAGAGACAAAATTAAAGCTTATGCCCACTATAAATCATTCGGTATAGGTCCAGAAACAGATGGATATCCTTTAAATCTCCTGAACGGATTTAGCGGTGACGCTGGGGACTCTCTAGGATACCATTCAGGCGCTAAGTTTAGCACCAAGGACATGGATCAGGACACAGTTCCTGGTAATTGCGCTGAAACATATCGTAAGTATCAATTTTTATAATATTAAATTTATTTCAGTGGTTTCAACTTTTGAAATAAATACGATAACCTTCTTATTTTTAATTGTTTGTTTTTAGTTAGTGGTTGGTGGTACAAAAGCTGTCACAAGAGCAACCTTAATGGAAACTATATAAATCTGGCTCTTCCCGAGCAGTATAAATTTAAGGGTCTCCATTGGGAGGGATTTAGAGGACATGAATACTGTCATTCAGGATCCAGAATGTTGGTCAGACCAAGCACACCTAAATAATTTAACAAATGGGTTCCAGATCCAATAATATATTTTGTATTTTTAATCAATGAATAAAACATTATAAATCAACACTTTCTTTTATGTTTGAAACGTACTCATTATCGCCTTTTGGTGTAGTTTCATCTTGTTCAAAGTAAATCTAAAAAGGTATATATGATGTCTGGGTGACCCTCACCTTCGCTAATCTTTTTTCATTTATTATTTATTGTCATTATTTCCAATTAATTTTAATATTTGATAATTTTTCTTTTAAGTTTACCGTTAACCCGAAAATTCGCAATAAAATTAAATAATTTATTTTGAAATAACACGCATCATTAACAAAAATATTATACAGATTAGAAAATTAATTCATATTTATAAATAAATTTTTCGATTTAAAGTTCTTAGAATTAGTTTTGTTTCAATTGTAATAAAAGTGCCAGAATATGAACATATTGATATTTTTCGTAGTTTTGATAACCAGTAGTTTTGGTGCTGAGGTAATACTTCTTATTGAATTATTATAGTAAATTACTAAGGTACATTTGCACCTCTAGTCATTAAGAAATAAGCCAAGCTTAAACTGACATTTTTCCATTAACAATGTAACTTTAAACTTCACTTAGTTCTTAACGACTAGTGGTGCAAATGGCTCTAAGTAAATTAGCTTCTATCATTATAGTATGGTGTAGATTAAAACTTATTTTGACTTTGCCTCCCACTTCGGTGTCACAAGCTGAATTTTTTATCGATGAAAGTACATGTTAAGCTAACCCTTATTCCGGAGGTAATACATAATTAGACTTGTGCAAAAGAGCCCTATCATCAAAAATCCAGATATTGATACCGCTGAATAGAGAAAAAATACTTATGTTTTGGTCTAATGCACAATTGGGTCTATGTAGGGAGTGTTTTTTTATAATTATTTAAAAAAATTATTTGCATTAGCCCTTATGATCGAAAAAAAAAATTAAACGCAAATGTCTTGGTTTCAACCGTCCACAAAGTTGATTAAAAAATCTTCTTTTGGAAATATACCTTTCATTTGACGAAAAACGAAGGCCCAAATAAAAAAAAATATTATTCATAAAGGAATCGCATATGTCTTGACAAGGTAAGATTGTTTTTCCCATATTGTTTTATTATAAATTAATATAAATATAGCAATAAACAATTAGTGATGTTATGGTTTTACAGAATAGCAAGCATTGAACGCGGAGTCTCTCGACTCTATGCGTCTCTCTCAGTGCTGAAATGTATGTAATTAGTTTGACCCTCTTACATTATTTTGTACAGGGATTATTGATTTATCCGCTATGAATAATGTTTTATAGGGTGTAATTATTCCCAATATAAAAATAATAATAATAAAAAAGCATAAATTAATAATATTAAAATATATAAGTACAAGACTTTCAAACTAATCAGAATCAGATTCACAACGCGTGCAGAAACCGATGCAGCCAATATATTTTTTCCTGCATTTGCATATTTTGCTTTCACAGTCTAAAACAGAATAATATTATTAAAATATTGTACATTTATGAAAATTGTCGGTGTATAGTACCTTTTTTGCATTTGCATGATGTAAGTTCTGTTATGTTTGGTGGTAACGTAAATGCCCCGAATTTTGGGCCGACAATATGTGCAATAAGATACGAGTATCAGCTTCTTCGTGATTTGAATTTAGGAAATTGTCTTTTGAAGGTTCAAAATTCGTCTCATATCTATTGATATTCGCTAATCCGCCACTAGTTAAAAATTGAATATGCTTTTGCTGAATGGAATTTTCAAGAAATTACTCTGACAGAAAATTGGTAAACGTCTTTTGTTAAATATCAAATGAATGAACAAGTTCCATTGTTGCGGAAGTGGAATATTGGGTCTGTCAATTTCTATCTCAATCGATTTTTAGGAACTTATCTTTTGACGTGTTGTATTTATGATAAAATGTTCTTTTTAATTATCAAATACCACATCTATCCTTTTTATACTAGCAAAATGGTAGTTGTAACAAAGTAGTTGAAGATGAATTGCTGGATCTCAAAATAACCAAACAATTGGATATACGAATTAGCGGGAAAAAATGGGATCAGAATCTGAACAATATCATCCAATCGAATATTCGTGATGTCATTTCAGGTAAACACTCATTTTTTGTAACGTTTCTAAATAGTAAATAAGTATTTTATACTAATTAGGCATTCCAAACAAAATGGCTACCAGTGGGTTTCAACAGATATGGCAAAATTATGGCAACTCTGTAGGCCTGGTGATTTTACAAGGTCAATGAAATAGATAGTTACACAGATTGATCATCCATATTTTTCAAAATAAACATAAGCTTATGCCTTAATGTAAAAATTTAGGTAATTATTTTTTTTACTATATTCACGGGCTAAATATTTGTAAACACATTTTTGCAAAATCGATTCTGATTAATGAGCACTTGCGAGGCAATATGGCCGCTCATAAACTACCCGCAATCTATATAACTATATACATATCATTGACCCTGTCAATGACAACAGGCTCAAAGGATTGCCATATCTAAATCTGTTCCCACTTGTCAGCAGATTGACAGGTTGTTGGAATGCCTAATTTCAAAAGTATAATTGATTAGATGGCCGGTATGTTGGAAAAGATTTAAAAATAAGTAAGCAATATATGTAATTTTGTCGAGGATTTTGTCCACTTCCAAATACTATAAATATGTCATATCCGGTTTTAAAAATTCACAGTATATTTAGGGGAAATTCGGGTAAATATACGCAGTGGGAAACTGTGCGCACCTAAATACCGCTATAATATTTATTGTTTGAAATTCAAAACTACAGTTAAACCGCCAAACTCCTAACTAACATGTGTTTTACGATCATAACTTAGTTAGAAAGCCAACAGTTGGTTGTTTGGGTTTTGAGGTTAAATAATCTTTTTTTTTTCTGGAGAATAAAAAAAGCCGTAATTACGTTATTTTTTATTAAAGCTGGATAAATTTGGTATCAACACATACTTTGATTTTCTTTTACTATACGGAGAATGGTCGCACTGCGCAGCTTTCTGAGTGCCTTTTAAAAGGAGATAGAAAACTCCGTCATTTTGAACTCTTATTACGTGTTGCCTACATCTTGGCGCAATATTTTTAATAGGTGCGTTTTAATCATCCGCTTCTGCTTAGGAATTGTCGGTTTTCTTGTTTTAATCTGACAGTTCTATTGCAGTTTCTAAGAAAGTCCTTTTCTACGCTTGGGATTTTACAGCTATACTAGGTCGCCTTCATAAAATGTGTTCCTGTGGAATGTATGCAGATTCTAGCATCTGCCTTGTTGTTGACTTTCAAACGTTTACGAGCAAATCTGTATACCTTCTCTAATCTTTCTCTTAAGCTCGTATGTACGTGGGAGGTAAACGATCCTCTTTACCAAACGATCCTCTTCCAAACAGAAGATCATGGGAAAGCTCTATCTTCCCTTCATTTTTTATCATTTATGAAGTATAACTTGTCGATTCATGTTCAGAGCTTCGGTAGGCTACCAGAAATAGAGGGGAAAAAAGTGTACCAGTCCATTTAGTTTTCAGAGACGAACATTGAAAGATACTGGCAAATGGTTCTATGGTGTCTAACTACCATTCCGTCGGACTGTGGGTGGAGAGGCGTAGTTCGTGTTTTCCTGATGCCCAATATTTTCATCAATTTTTGCCATAATTCGAATTCAAAATTTCGTCCTTAGTCAGAACACAATACAATTTCAGAGGGACTTCATATCTCTCTATGACGTTCTTCATGAATGCCTTTGCTATGCAGTGATTTATGCAATGACAGAATAGGGCCAAAAACAAGAAGCTGAGTTAAAATGGCACAGTACTTTTCCGGAGAGCCTTTCGAACGAATCGTCATAAATATCCTCGGATCACTTCTCTTAACATAAAGGGGAAACAAATACTTAATGGTTGTTATGGACCATTTTTCAAAGCGGTTCAAAATAGCGCATATTTCTAATCAGAATACAACGGCAGTAGGAGATTTTCTTTAATGCGCTAGTGAAATAAATAAATAAACAATCTTAATATTGAGATTATCTTCAATATTTAAAATACAATACAAATGAATTATCAATAAAGTTATATCCATCTTTGTTAGAGTATAAAATATTTGAATGTTTTTTAGATAATCCAAAAACCAATAAGGTACGACCTTTATCAGACATTGATGTTCGTAACGCAGCTTCTGAAGAACCTAACGTTGTAGAATGGAATTCCGAGATAGAAAGGAAAAGTATCATCAACCAATTGGACAGCATTACGTCTAAATTAAAAAACATACAAAATGTTTGTCAGAAATCCAATTCTGAGGCACCATTGATAAAGTAAGTTCAAATTAATATCAAACTTCCTGGTAAAACACGTCATTCATAAATATTTTGGATTTCCAGATCAGATAGAATGAAATTTGTATTGTTATTATTATTTTTAGCAATATAGGAAATGTTGATGTATATAACAATGAAATTTGTAAGAGAGCAGTAGGGATGAGTAAGCCTCAATTTTGCGAGTTATTAGAAGAAGATATCATTAATAAAAATGTACCCAGAAGTTGTAAAGAAATCCAAGAAAAGGGTAGGCTTTAAATTTAATATATTCAACTTGTCTATCTATCTAACGTCTGATTCTCTAACGCGTGAGAGATATTGTAATACTTTAACCATTACTCTATTGGTTTTACGTCAATGATATTATAATTTAACCAAAGTATATTTAGCTACAGGTATCTACGAATAACTAAAATTATCTGTCATTTAAATTATAACAATTCTTCTCAATCACAATGCAGAACCAAGTGCAGAGCAATAAAAAATCTAATAAATTTACACAAAAAATAACAGTCAAGTTTTGAATCAGGCATTTTAGCTCTGATCTTCCAAACATAAATTATCACTATAGAAATGAGAGTGAGAGAGTTTATCAATCTTCCTCTCACTAACAAAACTATAATAGCAATTTATGCAACCAGTTACGAAATGCTCTATTTTATGTAACGAGTGAATATTTGCGGGACGAGCAGAGCGAGGTCCCGCAACATGAACAAGTTACATAAAACGGCATTTCGTAACGTGTGACATAAAATATATTTTCTAATTTTGACTGGGTTATTTATAAAATTGTGTTTAAAATATTACTGACCTCTAGGCATCCAATATTACCTTCTTGTATTATTGTTAGTTGCAAATGCATGACTAACACACAATCATATTCATTTATTCTCAACGACTTATAATGTGTTTTGTATTTTGTTAAAGTTATTTAGTTTTCCAGAAAGTGGGTTATTTTGTCGTAACTGGTGACGTAATGAATTTTTCGTAACCAGTTTAATATTGTTCTATATTATGCAACTCTTTACTCAAATAAGATCATTTGGACACTTGTTGCGATTATAAAAAGGTCACTTTATATGCCAACATTAGAAAAAGATTTTTCGTAACGTAAAGTTTAAACAATACCTATAGTAAGGTTGTTGTTATTACTTCTTAATAAAGACAATACGATAATTTTAGGACAAAATAAATCTGGAATCTACGAAATTCAGCCGAAGAGTAGCCTTAGGCCCATCTGGGTTCTGTGCGACATGGACACCAAAGGTGGAGGATGGGTTGTTGTCCAAAAAAGGTTTGATGGATCGGAAGATTTTGACCGAAATTGGCGAGACTACAAATTTGGTTTTGGAAACCTCAACAGAGAACTTTGGATCGGCCTAGAAAACATGTATCATTTTACCGGTTTGTATTATTTGTAATAAAATAAATTTCCTCGGTAAAATGTCTTGTCCTAAAATGAGGAAATTATTTGCCAATAAAAAAGGTTTTAAACTTTTTTATTTTTACTTCTAGGCTTCGAAGTAAGCGAATTACTGGTAGAAATAACGGACAGGGATAAAATTAAAGCATATGCCCACTATAAAGGATTTGGAATAGGATCGGAAACAGAGGGATACGCTCTCAGCGTCCTTAAAGGATTTAGTGGTGATGCTGGAGACTCCTTAAAAGGACACTATAATTGTAAATTTACCACCAAGGATTTGGATCAGGATAAACACGGAAATAATTGCGCTGTGCTATTTAGTAAGTATCAAATCTGCTTTTTCTTCTTCTTTCTCATCTTCTTCCTCCTATTCTTATATCTCATTTAACTTCAACCATTAGTGTGAAAAAACAACATTTTTTTGATAGTTGGGCTCTATTATGTATTATTTGGGTTAAAATTTAAATATCATAGTTATAAATAATCTTTTAACCTGGCGGTTAAAATTAACTAAAATATTACAGAATAGACCCCTGAAGTAATAAATTATGGAGTTATTGTCATAGAACTTTTAGTTTCAGTAAGGAAAAAGTTTATTTGTGTGCAGGCATCGAGATAAAATGAAATAGAGACGACATACACACTATTTTACGATAAGACAAATGGACTGACGAAAAAGTAAAATCAAAATGGCGACTTAAAGTCGTACTTTGATTTATTTAAAGTCAATAATTTGTTTACATCATTTAAATGAAGCTATTTTAAAAAATGGCATTTATTCTCACTAAAACTGACTAGCTCCACTAGTTTGACACATGACGAAAAAGTGTAATTAAAAGGTGCGGGAACTTTTAGTATCTTAGTATTTTATCTCACTGGTTTGTAGATCACTGGTAATAGGGATTGGATTGATGCTGGTATTGTTCATTTTATATGATGTTTGAGTTCATTTTCAATTTGTTAACATTCTGTTCATTGTTTAGATAGTGGTTGGTGGTTTAACGCTTGCCATGTTAGCAATCTGAATGGAAAATACATAAACATGCAACCTCCCACTGGATATAGTTACCAAGGTCTCCATTGGTTGGAATTTAGAGGACATGCGTATGGTCATGCCGGATCAAGAATGTTGGTCAGGCCAGTTCAACCTTAAATTACTGCAGAAAATTTAAAAAAAGATAGCATTGTTAGAAAAATAATACACATTTTAAATGGCATATGTATGTTTTACTATTTAATTAACTTCATTTTTGTTTTATTTTTATATTACATATCCTTGTTCATTTGAATCTTCAGTTGATTCATTGTTTTAGTGTTATTATAGTTACCAAATTGAGTGTTTGTTTTATTATTATTTTTTTTTTTTTTTTTCATACAATATAACTATTGTCCTTTTTAAGGGTAATCAACAACCTACGCCCATCCACTAGGTCATAAACAGGTTATTATTGAAGTAAAAGTAATGATCTCCTCAAAGTTTATTTGATTTAAATATATATAATATTAAATTCTATGTAATTTTCTATTCCATGCCATACCTCTACAAGTTTTATAATAAAAATATATTTTATACGTTTCTAGTTCGTAAGATAATGAAATATATTTTGATTGATTACTTAAAACTTTGATTCGGCTTGGCTTAGTCTGCAGTTAACAATATTGTCCATAAGTATATATTAACAAAGCTACCAATAAAAGTTTATCAATGCCTTTTTACTTGCTTTGTTAACTATTCTCACATTCTGTCTACAGAAAATTACCTCTTTTTAAGTAAGATTTTCTCTAGGAACTGCAGTTGGTTTTAGACTTCTGTTAGTTTTGGGAAAATAATTAACATTCCTATATTGCAAAGGAAAAGGAAACATAAGAAACACAAGATATTAGAAGAAATTGTTAATCAAATTTAATAAAAATATCCATATTGAATGAAATCGATCAGAACTTTCGTTGGCTCAGTAATTATTGTGATGTTTGTTTATTTTAAATAGTGATGCCGCGAGACGAGAGATTCTCGTCTCTCGTCTCGTCTTGTCTCGTCTCGTACGAGACGAGAGAGACATTTTCTCTCGAAAAAAGATTTGAGACGAGATGAGACGAGAGAGTGTCATCTCTCGACGAGAATTTCTCGTTTCTCTCGAGCTCTCTCGAGTTCTCTCGCGCAATTACATTTTTACTTCTTTAAAATTTTCAATTACTTATCGTAACTTAAAATTTAAAAATATCAGACTTGCAGACAGTCAAAAAGTTAACTATAAAACCACTATTCTATATACACAGGGAGTTTTAAGTATGGAATGCCTCAATTATCTCGGAAACGGCTTACACGATTTTTATTTATGGTGACCCGTCAAATGCGCCCCGAAAAAAGCGCTCCGAAAAAAGCGCCCCGACAAATGCGCTTCCCGACAAAAGCGCCCAAGACAAAAGCGCCACCCAAAATTTCTTTGTATAAAAACTAACAAACGGACAGAATCGTAATAATTTCCATGCAGTCAAATTTTTCGAAGGTTATTTTTGGAGATAAATTAGAAAGACAACAATTTTTAAGTGTTTTTTCGAAAAACTGTCAATGAAAAAGTAAAAGAATCGAACGTATAATATATTTTTAACATGCTTCAAAATCTTTCTTTTGATATCACACGAAAAAAATTATAACTTCCAAATGAAACCCTACCCCCTCCCAACTGACTTCTAAGACAAAGTATTTATAGCAAGGGCAGAAGTTGGAAAAGCTTTTGCTAGTTCTCCCACTTCATACGCATAACACAAGAATAATATTTATTATTCTTGTGCACATAACTTGACAGGTTTGCGGTGGATCTAATTGAAGTGGACGCGATACATTGGCGTACTAAATTATTTTTTAGATGATAACAATTTCGAGTAAATAGTTTAACAAATTGTGAATAGCTGTTGAAATTTTGTAGAATTATGATTTGGGTATTATAATACATGTTTAATAACTATTTATAGTCCATAAATACATGCGATTGTCCAGTTCTTATTCTATGAAATGACACTGGCAAGTAAACATTACCGCAAAAAGTCGTTCGACGTGGTTTGACGTTTACCCCCTCTCTACCTACCAAAAGCCTTTCCAACTTCTGCCTCTGCTATATATTCTTAGTTAACGCCCAATTTGGGCTACTAAATACTTTAAATTTCAATTGTTTATGTCAAATAGTGTCTAAGTAAAACGATTGTGACAAACGGACAGGCAGAGAGATACCAAGGTGTTTCTTATTGCCAATTTGGGTACTGATGAGACAAATTACTTGAAAAATTATTTGTTATTGTCTTCAAAATTTTACAGTTTTTTTCATGTTTCGTCCTAAGTATATCTTTTCCAAATTTAAATTTGATATGTTTTTATCACGAGAGAAACGAGACGAGACAAGACGAGACGAGAGAATGGCTCTCTCGAGCGAGAGAAGCGCCTTCTCGTCGAGACGAGAGAACAGTTTTCACTCGTCCTACGAGACGAGACGAGAGAGGCCTCTCTCTCGTCTCGTTTCGTCTCGCGGCATCACTAATTTTAAAACAACAGTTTATTTATCAATAATTTATTTAAACACTTATTTATTTTATAACACTATTCTAATTTATATATATTTCGAATGTCTTTAAACTGTTCGCTATTTATCTTCACTGTCCATATAATAACTAACTGTACTGTGTTCTTCCACCAATATTTATATACAAATTTCTAAAGTTTGGTAGGCTCTAGAAATATTTGGAATAGACCAGAAATATTATCACGATGACTCAGGAATGTTCGCGAAAGTACCTCCGCCATAGTCGTCACATAGGTTTGGTCTTAAGAGGTTTAATTATATATAATAATCGGACCGGTTGAGCCTCAAAGGCCAAATAAGACAGAGAGGGACTTAAAGGGTTAGAGAATGACTGAATAATGAAATGACTCACATAACATTATTATAATTTTTTTAAAAATATGTTGAATTTGACAAGTAAATGAGATCTATAATAGTATATTGTGTCACAAGGGCAGAAAATAAGCTTTATCAGCCCACAACTATTAGCTGATAGCTAAGGACTGCTAAAGCGTTTTCTGCATGTGTGACACAAAATTGTTTTTCGCCTACCAAAAAAAAACAAAGAAAAGGAAAATATAACGGAAATCTTTAATTTTACAAATACAAGAAACTTAAGTAGTAAAATGTATGAATTTATTTTTCAGTTAGGTTTTTTGCTTTTTTACTTTTTCCAGTTGTTAAACAATTCATAGTACTTTTCGTACCGTTCTGTTGACTTAGTAGGTAGTAGATTTAGAGAAACATTGTTGGCTTCCTCTTGCAAGTTTGATGGAGTATTTGTAAATTCTTCGTCACTGTCTGAATGACTATTCATATTCACTAATAGACTTATACTGACGTTTAATCAAAATTTATGTGAAACGTCATGTGACAGTCAAAGGTATCTAGATATCTAGTGGAAAACTACAAAATCGGGCTGTTATGAGTTTAGCAGCCCATGGGACGATATACGTTACTTTCGGTCATATTTTTAGGGATGATATGATTCATTTTCACATATGGTAGGCGAAAAAAAAATATCAGTCATTTTTTATTATTTTAGAAGCGAAAACTGACCATAAATTTGTGTAATAAAGTGAATAAAGAAAAATCCATATGATGGGGGCTTAAATGATGACACTGTTTATACACTATATCTTCCAAGTCATTATTTCAAACAATTTTTAAATAATTGTTCTTATTTAGGATCTGATTCCTAAAATAAGTAATTAAATTTGTTTTGCAGTCAGCACTTACAAAAAAGAAAAATCCAACTCAAATGTGACCAACACGTAAAATAAAACAAATAAATCACGAAATGTGTGACATAATATGGCTTATTGATTTATTTATTTTATTTTACACTTCAATGAAATACTTTGTTCACTGTAAACACTGGATTATTTCCTCTTTTACAAAAACAATATGTGCTTAAAGATTAAGGTATTCAAATAGGGGAACTTTGTTAATAAAATGGTCAGACTTGACGTTACAGAATCAGTTTTACTTTTATCCTTCAACATTTAAAAACAGAAATATGATTGTGGCGAGGCTTTTATATTTTATTTCAATTTTGTTATCCTGCAGTTTTGGTGCTGTCACTAATAATAATGAGGTGAGTTTCATGATTTTTATGAGTTCTTTAAATATTTTAATAATCACTATAAATTCATCATTTAAAATTGTAGTCATACTGAATTTATTATATAACCATGGTGTAAGAATAGGTGAAGCGGTACGCAGGTTTTATGACGTCAACATCGGCATTGTCACGACCGCCCACAAACTGTCATGGCTTTGTTTACATTTTGTAATGATTGTCAAGATGTTACTCTTTTATTTCCTAGTTCTATAATCATTGTAAAACTGAAAATATATATTTAGATGAAAATAACAATTGATAAATCACATCAAGTTACGCTCAATAATACAAGAAAATGCCAATTAAACTCACTATAGGCAGATATTAGACCCTTGTGCAAAGAAATTCAAAATAAAAAAATATTTTGTGCTCTTTTAGCTTAATATATTGTAAGTTAATCAGATGATATGCATTTTTCTTGAGGATAAACAAGATATAGTGTTCATCTGAAACTGAATTCTTCCACCACAAAACATGAAGAGGATGTTTGGTACGTCTAGGATTTAAATCTTCATACCTATCATCACTATCTGATAGATTGAGATCAAGATGATAGCCAAAACGTCTAGAAACTAATATTTCATGGACATCACCATTAAAAAGTTTTAATGTCTCAGTCTCGATAAAAATTGGAATAGATAGAAGGCCTATAGGTACAAATAAGTAGATTTAAATGTTGTGAAAATGAAATATGTGATTCAATTACCGAAAGAACTGAATAAATGTCCCTTATATAAATAAAATTTTGTAAAATGTTAACAAAGACAGGACCATAAAATTAAAGTGAAATAAATTTAACAGGTTATTTTTTAAGTTGTGGATTTTCTTAAATAATCAGCTTGAAGGGTCTGTTAGTAGTCACTTTTAGGATAATTATGAATGTATTACCTTATTTGTACGGTTGTGTGCTGATAATCCTTTTTATGTATTTAACTCGGTATTTAATAAACAGAAACACTTGGCATATTTTATTTTAATGAAAAGCACAGAGGTGTTTATTTGGAAATGGTTTATTTATGTTTAATAATGTTTATAAATTGTTGATACATAAGGTTTACTTTTTTATCTTGCTTGACACATTATAATCTATATTTATTTGGCTCGTGGAGTTCTAAGAGTGACGGATTTTTCTGTTACACTCCTGCAGGTGCAAATCTGTATTTCATTTGGTGTACTTTTTTGTCATTTCTTTTAGTTCTTCACAAAGACTTTCAATAATTTTCTCTAAAATAACAATTTCATTTTGGTGGTCACATTTGAAACAATTATATAGAGTTAATATTGAAGTAAAAATAATGAATTTTTAATTAAACATTTCTATTTAATTTCTTGTAATATTCATTAGTTCTACATGCTAAGTTATGTAATTTTCATTTCAAAGCCACATGTACCATATACAATTTTCACATTAAGAATATTTTTTGTTAATAAGATAAATTCGTACTTACGTTCTGGAGATACTGAAATATTAACAAAGCTATCAATAAAGGTTTGTCGATATCTTTTTGTCTGCCTTATTAATTTATCCTCGCATTCTGCAGACAATTGTGTCCTTTTTTAACTCGGAGATTTTCAGTAGAAACTGTTGGTTTTAAATTTTTGCCAGTTTTAGGTCAGTAGTTTAATAGCCTCTGTTCTAAGGATATTTCAAAACTATTCTTTGAAAAATGTATAGAAAAATACAAGCTTAAAAAAAGAATCAAAACATCATATACAAAAATGATTATAAATCAATTTAGTTTTGCAAAAACCATACCATTCTTCCTCCTGCAAGCATTGATCTATGCTTTAAGTACGTCTGTTTTCGAAAACCATAATATGCAAAATACTTAATGTCTGTTCCCTTGGTTTTTTTCGTGAATAGTTCTTGTAGCCATACACTGCACAACCTGGCTAGTAACTACACTAAAATAGTAGATTTTAATGTAGGTAACAATATAATAATAATATAATTAGAAGCTATTTTTTTTTATCTTTAAAATACAGCAAAAATATGACATAATATAACTTTATATCAATTACACTATCAATTTAATTAGAAATTAATTGAATAATACCTACCAATAATAACCAAAAAGAAATCTTGATGTATAGAAATAATATTAAATACATCTATAAATTTCTAAGCACTATCAGAAAAATATTAAAGTAACATAAAAACTCGTTTTTTAACATTGAAGACATAGGCAAAATAAAAATCTGCTTCGAAAGTGACGTCATGCGCAAGACTGACCGAATTTCGTACCGCTTACCGCTTACCGCTTCACCTGTATTTTTCATTATAAATAAACTTGAAATTTTAATGGCTTCCTACAGATTTGAATTATTATAAAAAAAATAATAACGATATTATTAAAGATTTAAAACAATTTTTGAGACTCGCTTCTGGTGTACAGGGTGTTTCCTGACTACGGTAAGAAACTTCAGAGGGTGATTCCTGAGGTAGTTTTAGTAAAATAAGTTTCTATGTACATATAACCGGAGTTTCTGAGACACTGGGCGTTAAATTAGGTATTTTTTAAATATCCTTAAATCGATTTGGTTAAAATTTGGTACAGTTATTTGTACAGTAATAAGGCACTTACTCACCCCTAACTAGATTGAAATTATTGGGTTCAGTGGCGTCTCTGTGGGCACCACAGCCAATATTATTAAAAAAAGTACGTTATTGTTATGTTTTTGTAGTTTTTGTATTTTTTTCTAATTAAGAAAGTAAAAATACAATTTTTTTGTGTTTTCTACATTTCTAGTTTCGTTTTCGAAAAAAAAAATAAAAAATAAAAAACGATCTATTGCATATCATGAACATGGACACTGAGAAAAAAAATTAATTTAAGTAATATCAAAAAATCATCTATCCCATTTGTCTTAAACTTGGTACTTATTGTTTTACGTAGTAATCCAGATTTGACTTAGTCATATCAGGGGCAACTGGTTTCAATAGGATTACTATCTATTTTGTATTTAAAAAATAAATATTCAACTTCATTGACTTTCATCATCACATTTTTAGCATACAACATCTGATTTTATAACAAATTATTGTTAAGTCTAATCAAAAACCTTCCTACCTGCTTTAGAGACCAGATCTCAGTTATAGTATTGTCATATCACTAAAAATCAGAGTTGTCAATTGGCAGTGATTCTATCATGTGTGTGCAGTGGTTGACTGGCATCGGGATTAACCCATTTGCCACAGACATTATTATTTTTAAATTCTATCATGAATAACTTCTTCTGAGATGAATGATATATGCACTTTATTTATGGATTAGCAAATGGAAATGCTGAAGAAGCACGGATAATTTACCAGAAGAGTAATTCCATGTACTAAAACATTTAGAATGCTACATGCAAGATTAAGTGAAACTGGTAATTTTAATAATAACATACAGGTGGTGGAAGACCAGAAACTGTAACAACGCCTGAACTAAAAAAAGATATGCTTTATTGGATAGAAGAAGATTCTTCAAATAGTACCAAGAAGATTGCACTACAGCTAGAAATCAGCCCAAAATCCGTTTGGAAAGTTCTAACAATAAATATCCTGTACTCACATTACATGCAGCGGGTCCGAGCTCTATTGCATATTTTGCAGAGGTTTGATTCATACGATAGCACAAAATTTTAATTTATTACCAAAGTAAGATTCACTGGTGAATCCTACACGAACTTTTTGCGAGATCATTTACTCATTTTGGTAGAAGATCCTACATGTAAGAGCCAACAAGTGGTTTAGGCACGACGAAGTTCCAACTCATTTTAGTGTATAAGAAACGAAAAATAAAAATTTTTCTACCCAAACAGAAAATAAACAAAGAATAAAAACAAATAATAACATTTTTGATATATACTTAACGTACGAAAACAAAAAAAGAAACCAATGAAAACTAATACGTATTTCTTTTAGATCAGTCTGAATCAGATAATTCGAATACGTTATGTTTGGCATGCATGTTCTTTTTATGATGCCCTATTAATTTTTTGTTGTATTTTAAATAAAAACAAGATTATCTTGTATTTTTTATGGAGCAAACCAACAATAGTGGATGCTTATTACGCTGCTTTTACTTCAGCAAATTTACTAGAAAAAATGTTCTTTGACCATTTGCTGAAGAATAAGGCAAACCTAATAAATTAAGAACACAATTTAAGTTGGCGAAAACAGTAGATTTCATGCCTAAAGACGGTTTTCCACTAAACGGACAGTTGAGTTGATGTTTTGTTTGTGTTTTCTGGAACTCTTAAAACAAAAACAAAACTGAAACAAACCCAAAGTCTTGTTTCTATCAAGCGAACTACATTTTGTTACAGTTTTGTTTTTGTTTTTGGTCCTTTTCCACTGGTTGTTGCGAGGAAGTCAGAACAGAATTTTTTAGGATAGGTCCAAATTGAAAATACATATAAAATTATTTTAAAAGATGTATGTGACCTCATGAAAACCTAAAATCGACAATATTTGGACTTAACTAATCTGTCTCTGACACTCAGATATATTATATATATTCTACTAATAAATATACCCACTTATATTAATTTTTCCAGCGTTTCAAAATAAATCACTTATTACTAACTACTTATCTATAAAAAAATACGTTATTTACTTAGTTATAGGTACCAATTTGGAACAAAATTTAGACTACACAACACGACCGTTTCCAGTAAACAGACTCGAATTTCAAAACACGTCGAAACCTTTTGATGTTTCCGCTTCCGAGCGGGACTCGAGAAACAAATCTCCAACTGTCGCAAAGCACGCCAGTCTTCAAAAAGTGTGCAAAAAGTGGCAGTTTTGTTTTTCACGACACGAGTTTGTGTTTTGTCCGTTTAGTGGAAAACCGCCATAAAACAGGAAAATAGAGACAAAAACAGAGGATCTACTTTAAAACAGTAGGTCTGGCAACACTGATCGTTCCCTCGAATGGTTGTCTGCCGTTGTCTCCTTGCTTCCCAAATGTGTGAAGCGTAACGTA